ACACCCAGCTAATTTTTTTTGATTTATTGTAGAGATGAGGTCTCACCAAGTTGCCTAGGCGGGTCTTGAACCCACGGGCTCAAGCAATCCACTCATCTCAGCCTCCCAAGGCACGGGATTACAGGCTGAGTCACCGAGCCCAGCTTATATTGACTTTTTAAAAAAATCAACTGTCTTACTGTGCAATCAAAATTAGACTGCTGGGCAACCTCCTTGGGTCCCCTCCTGCTGTGGGAGCCTTTCTGTCCTCTTAATAAATTCTTTCTCACATTAAAAAAGAAAATTAGAGTGCTTTGATTTGAAAACAACACTTGGAACTTCCAGATAACTTTTAAGACTTATTTAGGACCAAGGACAGCAGCTCACATCTGCAATCCTAGTGCTTTTGAAGGTCAAGGTGGGAGGATCATTTGAGCCTAGGAGCTTGAGACCACCCCGGGGCAACATAGTGAGACCTCATCCCTACTAAAAAATCAAAAAATTAGCTGAGCATGGTGGCACACAGCTGCAGTCCCAGCTACTCAGGAGGCTTTAAGCAGAGGGAGCGCCCAGGATGTGGAGGCTGTGGTAAGCCAATTTGTGCCACTGTACTCTAGGCTGGGTGACAGAGTGAGAAAAATAAAATAAATAAAACAAAAAGACTTATCTAGCTTTGTGGGTAGTATTTTCATACAAATAAGTAAGGGTGGATTTTCTATTTTGTAGACGTTTGGTCCTATTTTAATGCTCTTTGTATGGCAGTAAATATGTATACAGTGTTATTAGTGGGAGTGTAAATTAGTACAGCCTCTATGGAAAGTGGCATGGAGATTTCTCAAAGAACTAAAAGTAGACCTACCATTTGATCCAGCAATCCCACTACTAGGTATCTACCATAAGGAACAAAGACACCTACACCCGCATGTTCATAGCAGCACAATTCACAATTGCAAAGATGTGGAATCAACCTAAATGTCCATCAACCAATCAGTGGATAATGAAAATGTGGTATATATGCACCATGGAATACTACACAGCCATAAAAAAGAACGAGATCATGTCCTCTGCAGCAACACGGATAGAGTTAGAGATCATCATCCTAAGTAAACTTAGAAAAAGAAAACCAAACACTGCATGTTCTCACTCATATGTGGGAGCTAAATGGTCACAAGGATGGAAATAATAGACATTAAGGACACTAACAAGGAGGAAGGGGGAAAGGGACTAGGGTCTCGAAACTCGCTACAGGGCACAGCGTCCACTCTCCGGGTAATGGGCCACCTGAGACTCAATCCCCACCACTACACAATATGTCCATGCAACAAATATGCATGTGTATCCTCTGACTGTAAACTTAAAAAAATTTTAAATGTATAAGCCAGGTGTGGTGACTCTTGCCTGGAATCTCAGCACTTTGGGAGGCAGAGGTGAAAGGACTGCCTGAGCACAGAGGTTTGAGACCAGCCTGGGCAACTTGGCGAGACAATAAATTAAAAAATTAGCCAGGCGTGGTGGAGTACACTTTAATTCCAGTTACTTGGAGGGCTGAGGCAGAAGGATTACCTGAACCCAGCAAGTGGAAGCTGTGGTGGCCGTGAGCTTGCCACTGCATTCCAGCCTGGGTAACAGTAAGACTCTGACTCAAAAAAATACACACACACAGGGGATGCCAAAAAAATGTATATGCATTTTAAGCGATGTTATCTATGTATTACTTTTTAAAGTTGAATTAAGTTACAGTAGCAATGTGTAGTATGATGTTCACTTAATTGTGCTTCTGCCACTTTCTTTGACTGTCCTGCCTGCCACATGGTGATGCTAGCATCATTTGATTAACACCATCTTTTGAGTGAACATCATATTTAAAATGTGTATACATTTTTTTGGCACCCCGTGTGTGTGTGTGTGTGTGTGTGTGTGTGTGTGTGTGTGTGTGTGTGTGTGTCGGGGTGTGTGTGTGTATACAGTGTGTTAAGTACCTCAAGAATCTCTCCTTAGAAACTCAAGTTAATACTTTCGTGCAACTGTGTTTTGAATAAAGCCATGACAGTGTTAACAAACAGAAAAAAGGTCTTCATCCTCTTTGTCTTCTCAGCTGAAGGGGAGGAGGAACTGGTCTTGCTGTCTTAGGAGTGGCAGTGTTGGAAGAAAATTGGCATGTTAAGTGAACCCCTGCAGTTAAAACCTGTGTTGTTCAAGGGTCAACTGTAATTTGTTATTGCAGGAGCAGTAGGAAGCTGAAATACAGGGTAAGGGCTGGTTGTTACTGAGGCAGAGGGACCCTAACTGTGACTCCCTCCCACACTGACCATCCTTATTAGAGCCTGGTGATAGGCCATTGTTCAAACAGGATGAGGACCCGATGCCCGAGAAGTAGGAGCTGGTCCCAGGAGCTAGACAAGGGGCATGAAGAGCAGAATCACCCAATCACCCCACAGGCATGAGGGCACAGCCCAGCCTGGATCCACCAACCCACAGATGCATGAGTCATCAATGAATCTTTCATGTAAGCCACTGAGGTCAGAGTGCTTGTTCCACAGCAAGAGCTGACTGTGTATCACCTCAGGTCTTCGGACTTGCTATTTCCTCTGCCTGGATACTGTTCTCTCAGACTGTCTCATGGATCAGGACACAGGTTACCTCCTTGGGAGGCTACCCCTCATCTCTTAGTTAAAGTCCTCCCACCTTCATCCTAGTCTCTACTTCATCACCTGCTTTCATTTTCTCAACATTAATCACAGTCTGTAATCACCTTACTCATTATTATTGTATCTATTTACTGTCTGTACCCTGCTCCCTCACCAAGAATATAAATTCAGTTTTGCTCACAGCAAAACAGGCGCTTGGTGGAATAGTCAATCTGCTGTGAAGGATTAGAAAGCAGACAGAGAGAAACCAGGAGGCAAGCATGGATGGGCTCCTTTCAACCCTGCAGGGCTTCCTCTCACCTGGGCACAGACCTTGGGGAACTCCAGAGTCCACCAACCATGGTTTTGCACCTTGCTCCTGCAGGGAGGTAATGCCTGGCTTCAGGAACCAATGTCCTGCTTGGGGGGAGACTCATGGAGTGAGCATTTGTATTCCAGGACCCTCCTGACCCTCTCTCCACTCCACCTCTAGTCTTCCAGGTCCCAAATGGCTGGGAATGGCTGTAGTTGTCATAGTAACATCCCAATATTCCTCAGAGACTCCATTCCCCCACTCTCAGTCTTCACCTCACTCCTGGTTCTGGGGTGAACATGTGACCCAGACCTGGCCAATCAGAGCCCTGCTCCCTCCTCTGCCCACTGACAATAATGACCATTGTGAAGGGGATCTGGCAGCCAAACCAAAGTAACCCAGTCAACTTTGATAGATGCCTTGGACATAGACCCTGTCTTTTCTGCTGGTCTTGGACTCAGGAGAGGTACGCTGGAAGCTCTCGTCACCTCCAGAGGGACCTATATGGAAACAGAGCTAGAAAGCGACTGCTATAGTCTGCATGCTGGAGTCTCCCTAAAATCTGTATGCTGGAACCTAATACCCAATATGATAGTGCTGACGTGGGGCCTTTGGGAAGCAATAAAGTCATGAGGGCCTCACTCTCACAGATAGGGTTAGTGTCCTTATAAAAGAGGTTTGAGGGAGCTCCCTTGCCCCTTCCGCCATGTGAAGACACAGAAAGAAGGCTCCATCAGTGAGGACCAGACCCTCATCAGACACTGAGTTTGCTGACACCCTGACCTTGACTTTCCAGCCTCCAAAACTGTGAGCAAGAAACTATTTAAAATTACCTGGTCTAAGGTATTTTAGCAGTCCGAATGGACTAAGGCAGAGGAAGTTGTTGAAGAGGGAGGGGCTTCTGACAGCACCACAGGCAGACCGCAGTAATCCTGGAACTCTGCAGTCTTGAGACCCAGAATGTCTCCCTCGCTCCATATGTCTCTGTTTCTGGTATTTTCAGGGTGAGTCTGTGATTTGCTAATATTGGTCCTAATTGATATTTCCCACATGAAAACAGTCAGGTTCCTAGAGCCTAAGATACAGGCCAAGCATATGCTTTTAAGGCTCAGCCCTATTCCCATTTTTAACCCAGTAGAATTAGAACCCGTGTCAGGGGTGGACCATCAGAGACATGGGTGAGGACCTTACCCACAGAAACCAGGAGTTCGAAGGTCTCCAGCATCACATCACAGTACAAGGTCCTCTGGGCTGGTTTCAGCTGTCCCCACTCCTCCTGTGTAAAGTCCACGACCACGTCCTCAAAGGTCACTTGCTCCTGAAACATCACACGTGTCCTCAGCCAAGCCAAGCCTGGCAATAGCTGCTAGTAGGAATGGCTGGTGAATGGGGCATCAGCCAGGCTGGGTGGGTTGGAGTTCTCTGTGTTCTGGGGGTTTGGGTCCTGTGGTTCATAGGTAGGAGACCTACTAATGAGGGGGAGGGTCTTGAGATATAAGACACCAAGCCCTTGTTTCCAGCAACTGGGCTCTTGAAATAAGAAATGGTGCAGAGGCCAGGAGTGGGGGCTCATGCTTGTTAAACCAGCACTTTGGGAAGCCAAGACAGGAAAACTGCTTGAGCACAGGAGTTCAAGACCAGCATGGGCAATATAGCGAGATACTAACACTATAAAAAACAATTTTTTAAAAAAGAAAAAAGACAAGGTGGTGAAGGGTCAACAATAAAGGAGTGGATAGCCATGGGAATATTGGGGCTTACTAGAAACTGTGCTTTCCTGGAGATGCCCTCAGAGTGGGCAGCTGTGTCTGGCCAGCGGGGTAAGGGAGTATCTGGAAAACTGTCAGGTTACATCCCTGCCTCACCATTGTGGCCAAAATAATATCTGGATGGGTCCGAGAGAAAAGAGAGAGAGGGGATATATATATCTATAATGGTACAAAGTCCTTGAATAAAATAAGGTTACAAAAAAAAAATCTTGGGGTAAAGATGACTTTTCTAATCATGACATAAAATCCAGATGCTCCCCTTCACCTCTATTAGTAATCTTTAAACAACATTCCTTTGTTAATGCTTAGATCTTAGGTCAGAACTCCAACACAGCTTGGCTGAGTTCTCTGCTCAGGGTCTTCACAGGACTAAAAGCAAGATGTTGACCACACTACAGTCTCATCTGAAGGCTCTAGGGGAAAATTCACTTTCAGCTCATTTCTGTTGACAGAAATCAGTTCCCTAAAGTTGTAGGACTGAGGTCCCCATTTTCCTGTAGGCTCTTGGGCAGAGGTCACCTTCGGCTCCTAGAAGTTGCCCCCTCCATTGACAGCTTTCTTCTGGGCCAGTTAGAATACATTTCTCTGAATTTCTCTTCTACAATGAACCCAAGAAAAACTCTGCTTTTAAAGGACTTGTGTGATTGGGCTAGGTTCACCCAGACAATCTCCCTTCCTGCAGGCCACTCCTGTTATATGACATAACCTAGTCATGGTAGTAGTATCTCATCATATTGACACATTCTGGAGATTATTCAGGTCATGTCAACTAGAAGGCAGACAATTTTAGGGGCCATCTTAGAATTCTGGTTATCAAATTCCTCTTCAAATGAGAGTTCAGGTATACAACTAAATAAATGTGCATACATTGCAAAAGATACCATAAACAAATCTGAAGAACAGATGGGCACCTGGGAAATATATGTACAACATGTGATATACTTGGTGCACTAGTTTTTTTGTCATTGTTATTTTTTTTTGAGTAAGAGTCTCACTCTGTGGCCCAGGCTGGAGTGCAGTGGCACACTCACAGCCACAGCAACCTGGACAAGCTAGGTTCAGGTGATCCTTCCACCTCAGTCTTCCAAGTAACTAGAACCATAGGCACAGGCAGTTCATGCTTGACTAAACTTTTTTTTTTTTAGTTGGAGTCTCACTCTGTTGCCCAGGCTGGAGTGCGGTGGCACACTCACAGCTACCCCAGCGTTGACCTGCTGGGATCTAGCAATCCTTCTGCTTTAGCCTTTCAAGTAGTCAGAACTACAGGCGCATGCTACCACGCCCGGCTATTTTTTTATTTATTGTAGAGACGAGGTCTCATCAAGTTGCCTGGGCTGGTCTCAAACCCACAGGCTCAGGCAATCCACTTGCCTTGGCCTCCAAAGTGCTAGGATTACAGGCTGCGCCACCAAGCCCAGCCGAATAATTTTATTTATTGTAGAGATGAGGTCTCGAACCCCTGAACTCAGGCAATCCTCTCACCTCGGCCTCCCAAAGTGCTGAGATTATTTTAAAGAGATGAGGGTCTCACTAGGTCACTCAGGCTGAAGTACAGTGGCTATTCACAGGTATAATCATAGTGCACTGTGGCCTGGAACTCCTGGGCTCAAGCAATCCTCCCGCCTCAGACTCCTGAGTAGCTGGATCTATGAGCATGCCACATCTGGCTAATTTCTTTCCTTCATACGGCAACCCAATAAGAGAAGCTCATGCTGTGAGGCCAGAAGAGCTTAAGTGTTCTGCCCAAAGTTATAAAGCTAGTGGTAGTAAGTCCAAAGATTGAATCTGGGTAAGAGACTGTGTCTCACTATGTTGCCCAGAGTAGTCTTGAACTCCTATTCTCAGGCGATCCCCCAGTTTTAGCCTCCCAAAATGTTGGGATTACAGGCCTGGCCCTTTGTATGGGTTTTCTGGCATTCTCACAAGAGGTTGGTTTCCTCTGCTTTGTGGGTGGGGTTAATGTCACTATAAAAGTTTGAGTTCCACTCCCTTGGCCTCCTTGCCCTCCCCCTCGAGGACAGGGCATTGCGGGCACCTCCGTTTGGTTGCAGACCTCCAGAACCGTGAGCCAGTGCCTCTGTGTCCATGGGCCATCACTCAGCCTCAGGTAAGCGGTTACAGCAACATGAAACCCACTCCGACAGGGATGGACGCCCACCGTCCAGTCCTCTCGCACAGCGCGGAGTCCTCCCTCTCGCATAGCATGGGTGGTCCTTTAGGAGGCAGGGGTGGGGGGGTGGAGGGAAGGCAGGGGGGAAGTGCCTGAAGCAGCCTCTCCCCTCAGAGGCCGCATAAGTACAGGCCTGCTACTCACCTGGGCCTTGCTGGTGCGGAGCCCTGCGGTCTTCCCCCGGCTTCCTGAAGGAACATCAGCTCCTGTTTTGGGGTAAAGGGGCTGTGAGAGGCTGGGCGGTGCCAGGGACCCCAAGCCCTGCAGCCCATTGCACAAGTGGACCTGAAACACAGCCCGGTGTTTTCTGTGTGCCTGCTGCACGCCAGGCTCCCCCAGGCATCATTCCAGGTGCTGCTGAAGGCCAACCTAGCATTTTCCCACCCAGGCAAAAACAGGGAAACTGAAGGCCAGAGTGGGCATAGGATGTGTCCCCCAGTTGCGCAGTGCTTTCTAGGGTGACCGTCTGTTTTTTCTTTTGTTAAGAGACGGTTTCGCTCTGTCGCCCAGGCTGGAGGGCCATGGTGCAGTTGCAGCTCACCACAGCCTCCACCTCCTGGTTTCAGGGGATCCTCCTGCCTGGGATTACAGGGATGTGCCACCACGCTCTGCTATTTTTTTTTTTTTTTTGCATCGCAGTCTCACTCTGTCACCCAGACTGAAGTGCAGTGGCACACTGCTCATGGCCACTGCAGCCTCGACCTGCTGGGATCAGGCGATCCTTTGCCTCAGCCTTCCAAGTAGCTGAAACCACAGGCATGCACCACCACGCCCAGCTGACTTTTTGATTTATTGTAGAGACGAGGTCTCCTCAAGTTGCCCAGGCTGGTCTTGAACCCGTGGGCTCACGCAATCCTCTTGCCTGGGCCTCCCAAAGTGCTGGGATGACGGGCTTGAGTCACCATGCCCAGCCTCGGCTAATTTTTTAATAAAAATTTTGTAGAGATGAGGTCTTACTACGTAGCCCAGGATGGCCTCGAACTCTCGGCCTCAATCGATCCTCCCACCTTGGCCTCCCAAAGCACTGGAATTACAGGTGTGAGCCACCACGCCGTGTCCAGGATGACTCATTCTGTCACCATGGCAGGAAGCCCGACGACTGGGGTCCCCAGGCCCTGTGTGGCATGCCTCAGTTTCCCTCTCCTATAAATATGGATGGCGAGCCCGTACACAGTCTGTGGGCTGCGGCAGGGTTCGCGTGGAGCAGGGCGCGTATGAAGACCGCCAGGAGAGAGGCCTTCCTGCCGTTCAGGTCTGTTCTGCGCCCGCCCTCGACCCTGCCCGAGGCCGCAGGCTCCAGACCCCAGGGTGGGGCCCCGCCCCCGGGACCAGCCACCAGGGCGGGGGAGGCCGGCGGGTCGCTCCCCTCTCGGATAGAACAGCTGCGCCACAGGCAGGAGACCCGACAGTCTCCCGCGAGGTCGGGACCCAGCCCAGCCCCCTCCGCCCGAGACCCCAAGGCCGGGACCCCGCGAGCCCAGACGCGCCCTCCCGAGGCCCAAAGTAACAGAAGAGACTCAACCCTGCCGCGCGCAGTCGGGCACCCCGCGGCCCGCCGTCCCCTTTCCCGCCGCCCGGATCCCACTCACCCGCCCGACGGCGAGACAAAGGCCGCGGCCGCCCCACCCCCCCAGCCGCGACTGCGCCTGCTCCGGACTGCAGCTCCCAGAGGGCCGCGCGCGCGCTTCCGGTCGTCCCGCGATGGTCCCGCCTCTCGGCGCCGGCCCCGCCCTCCTCCCGAGCCCGACTCTCCGTGCGCGCGGCTCCCTGGTTGGGACGCGGGTTCGCGTCCCAACCCTGAGGCTCGCAGCCGCGTGGGCGTCCTCCCCCGCCCCGCATGCGGGGTCTGCGAACGTGGCTTTTGGAGGGGTACCGAGCCTGAGCGGGGCTGCGGGAGGATCTCGGGGCGTTCCCTCTTCCACCACGCGCCGCGTCCCATCGGGAACTCTTCCGACACTTTATTGTTGCAAAACACAGCGACTTTGAAAGCACACCGAAGACGAAACATTTCCCGCCATCCCACGCACAAGGGTCGTTTGCGCTGGGCGCCCAGGCCCCGCCGCGGAGACACGAGCCTGCGGGACGCACAGTCCGTGCCACTGTCGAAACGGCTGCGACTTCAGACCGGTGGGCCCTCACCGCCGAACTGTCGCTTTCCGAACACGCCCTGAAGCCTGCTAGGCCTGCACCCTGGGCGCAGCAGCACAGGCGGCAGAGGCCGCCCCCATGCAGGGTGGCCTTGCGCTCACTGAGGTTTGCCAAACCGCCACAGAGCAGCCAGGGGAGAGCCTGGAGGAAAACCTAGGCAGAGCTTTGTGCTTTGGGCCCTGCCGGGGGAGGATGGAGTAATTTCAACCAGTCTGGGCTTGCGAGCTGCATCTGAAGCTGAGGAAAGGTTTCAAGGCGAGGGTATTTTTTCTTGGACTGAAGCAACTCTGAGAACAGCAGAGAAGGCAATAGAATTCTCATGCTCCAAAAAAATATAGCTGGTGACATGTTCTTACACAGGCACTGGAGAAGATGTGACTGGTTCACACATGAGCTAAGACATATACCTAAAAGGGTGACAATTATGAAAAGACAGAACGACTCAAAATCATAATGCATTCATGTAAGCAAAGCAAAGGCCAGCACAGTGGCTTTTTGTTAAAGGTGCCCTGTATATCCAAGACCGGAAAGCCTGATTGTCATACTGAAAACCAGCCTGCTCCTCACTCTAGTGCACTAAAAAGGCTTTACAATACCCATAAAACGCCACTTTCAGTTTTCCCACCCACAAACTCAAATGCAACCAAACACTTCATTTTTTCTGTTAATTTTTCTCTTCTACAACATGTGCACTGGGTCTTTCCTCCAGTTTCCTTTGACTGGATCAAAAGGCATCAGCACACTTACAACTCATGATGAAACTATCTTTCCAAGAGGTCTGGAGTCCTGGTGAGGAGCTATTGGTGGTGCCATTCTGTGCTTGTCTCCTGTGAGGACGTACCCTAGCTCTGATGTGGCCACATGGACCCATAGCTCCCTCAGACTTGTCCCTCAATTTCCTTCTACTGACCTTCTTGTACTCTGTTTTTCTCAACCAGGTTTCCAAAACATATGCCTGCAGGAGCAGGGCCCTTTCTAAAGAGGCAGGTGCTGCTTGGCTCAGCCAGGAGGCCATGTGGACCAACAAGCCCAGTGTCCAGGGGTTGGATTTCTCAAAAGAAACCAGAGGTCTGGGTTTATGTGTGAAATCTCTTGATTTGTAAAAACTGGCAGGGATTTCAAAGGTTTTAAAGACATTCTACCAGCCAGTAAGAGGATCTGAAGGCTGCTCCCACAGGCTCCACTGTGGTCTGAACTTCTTCCTCTTCTGCCCTCTCCTTCCACACTGACAGTGTAACCACTGGTTGGCCCCTCCCTGCTCACTCTCAGCTGCCTCTCTCAGCTCTGCCTGCTTTCTCGCTGGTCTCCAGGCACAGAAGGTGCCTGTGACAGGACACCCCCCATGGGTAACTGGGGTGCAAATCAATGTAGTTTTGAAGCAATTCTGCAATCATAGCACAGGGAGGAGAACTGGATCATGTGGGGGTCCTTCCCCTGCCAGGTCTGGGATTACCTGAAGGAGAGACGAATAGGCGAAAGATGAAAATAATATACTCTGACACCTGCTTGCTGAACAGATGCCATTTAATGTTAGTTAACTGAAAGCTTTTATACCATTCGTAAAGGGGCAAAACAAAGAAAATTCCTTCACGTACATACCCTTTAAAAGTTACCACCATCTAGTGGTCTTAGCAACAAACAAGCCAAGAACACGGTCTGCTTTTAGTCAATAAGTCTTTTTCATAAAGCCAAAAATGATAGTTTTAGTCCAAAGTCCCTAATTACAGTCCTTGAAATGTCTCAAGAAAGTTTCCAAGTGCACATTTCTCCATGTATCAGTAATTTTCTTTCTGGGGCTTCTATGACCTTCAAAGCTTCGTAATCACCTTTCTTGTCCAGGTGTCTTTGCTACTTTTCTCTTATCATGCAGCGTTTATTTCTAAAGAAAGCTCAAAAGAAGCTTTTAGTGATGTTTCCCAGGCTCCCAAGGTTGCTTTCTGTCTTTAGTTAACTTATCATAAAAGTATCCGATTAGTATATTATGAATTCAGTGAAAGCCCACTCTATAAACGTTAACTTAGAATTTTAACTATTGAATTAAGTAAAAACCTTAACAATTAATCTTCATCCTAAATCTGTGAAAACAGTGTTATAAATCACCTACATAACTCCTAGATAAGTGTTAGAACTTATAATGAATTCATAATGAACTTACTATAAACTTGTGCTTCTAAAAAACCTTATGTCTAAACACTGAACTACATAATTCTAAATCGAATAAGGAGTGAATATACTTATATCATTTTTTACTCAAGCAATATCTAGTAACTTATAACCAAGTGAAAGAAAGCATTCTTGATGTGCTTCAGAGTTTAACCCTTGCATATGTTAGAAAAGGCCAAACAGCATCGTGGGAAATAGAAAAATGAACAATGACATCCTTGATAGCTGTGAATACTTCGCATAGACATGCTATTTTCTTCTTCCACGACTGCACAGAATTCTTCAGCCATATCAAACAGCAAAGACGGAAGACAGAAGCGCCTCAGCTGCCCGGACTCACTTTGCGGCTGGGGGTCCTCAGTGCACCTGGACTTTGTCAATCAGGCGGGCCTCCAAGGCTGGCTCCCAACAGGATCACAGTGAGGTTCTGTGTTTAAACATACGCCTTTAAAACACACTGCAACAGTTACAGCTCTGTGGACGTATTTTTTTCCTATTTTAAAATAAAAAATCATTTCTTTTCAGAGGCTTCAAAACCTAGCAGCATCCAGCCCTCCTCTGATTCCAGAGGCCCTGGTTGGGGTGGGAGGAGGGTGACCCGCGATACTCTTAAGTGTCAGCACCCAGGACCCGGCCCAGCAATTGCTCTGTGACAAGACTGGGGCACATTATGACAGGGATGTTGAGTTCTTGGGGTGCTGGTGGAGGAAGGCACCTGGCGAGCCAAGCATGCTGGGGCAGCTGGGCCATGTGCGTGGCTCGGGCAGGGTCGTGGGACTGGAAAGACTGGCAAACAACTTCATTTGGTGGCTTGCATAAGTGAGTCAGGGCAGCTGCTGCAACTGACCTGGACCACATTCTTGCTCTCAACCAAGAAAGAGCATGTGAGAGTGGCCTCGGGAGTGGCCCCCCTGCCTCCTCAGAGATCCCAGGGAGGATTCCCTTCTGGCAACTGGCCCTGGAGGGCCAGCTCTGTGCCAGGTACTGTCAGGTGCAGCAGTGGAGACTGCTGCAGGCACAGGAGAAAACCAGGGTGGGGGCAGTGTGGAAACAGGCAGTGGCAGAGTGGGTGAGAGATGCCAGCCTCCCGTGCTTGGTGCTGCAGAGGCCACTGGGCTGGGAGGGACGCGATGGGGCTGGTCTGCTAGGCTTCATGACTTTCAGCATCTGCGTTTTAGAAGGACTTTGTGAAATGGAGGCGAACCGGCAGGAAGCCGAGTAACTTAGAGGCAGCTGCAGACAGACATCCAAGGAGAGGGAGGCAATCTGGGTGGGATGGTGGAGAGGACAAGAGAGAACCAGGTGGGGTCGGGAGGTGGGATCCAGGGCACATTCAGAATCCTTCTGGGGCCTTGGAGGGTAGGGGGTCTCTGTGGCGAGACTGGGAACCCCAAGGAGAGGTCTTTTTTTTTTTGAGTTGGACTCTCACTCTGTCACCCAGGCTGGAGTGCAATGGCATGCTCACGGCCACCACAGCCTCAACCTGCTGGGCTCAGGGGATTCTTCCGCCTCAACCTTTCAAGTAACTGGAACCACAGGCATGTGTCACCATGACTGGCTAATTTTTTGATTTATTGTAGAGACAAGGTCTCGCCAAGTTGCCCAGTCTGGTCTCGAACCCCTGGGCTTAGGTAGTCCTCTCGCCTCCACCTCCCAAAGTGCTGGGATTATACGCATGAGTCACCACACCCAGCCTTTTTTTTTTTTTAACAAGGAAGATGAGTTCCTTGGACAAGCCCAACTGGAGGATGGAGGGAAATCAGGTGATATCTCTGGAGGCAGATGACCTTGGGACCCCCAGATAAACATCTTTGGTTACCTCATGTGGGTTGGGGCCTGACCGATGCCCTGTGGATAATAGCACTTTCTGGTGCAATCCTGCCACCAAGCAACAGAGCTGCAGACATGCCTCTGGTTTGTGGGATTGAATGGAAACTGTGTAAGATGAGCCTTTGACTCCCAACAAAAAGGACATCGGAGATGTCTATGCACGTCCTGTGGTCCTAGGCCAGAGGTGCTGTACTGAGGGAAAGCTCCAGGCTTCTGAGAGCCATGCGCTGACTGTGGGCTGAGCCCAACCTTCTATCCTGACTCTGTGGGAGAAGTTCCTCTGCAAGGGTGAGGGAGAAGGTGTACAGGAGGGAGCTGGGGCCCTGGCAATTAAGGCAAGGGACAGAGCCAGAACCCCTGGGGGGGACTGCAGAGGAAAGCCGGGAAGGAGGCTCACAGGCAAGTGCAGCAGCCAGGATGTGTGAAGGTGGTGGAGGGTCCGTGGGCCCCTCTCGGGACAGCATCTGGTTCTTCCAGGCTGGCCAAAAAACTAGAGGCCACAAGTGGGGCAGCATGGTCAAGAAGCAGCAGCGGCAGACATGGGATAGGTCAAAAGGCTTTTTCAGTTGAAAGGTGACTTGGGAATAATTTAAAAGAAGGTTCAAAGTCAACCCAACACTGTGTTTCTAAGTGAGGTTGAAAGGAAAAGGCAAAAACTTTTAAGGTTTTCATTTGAAAGAGGACAAGTATCTGGTAACAGTGGCTTGCGGATGGACGAGTTGTGGGTTCCCCACTGGAGCGTGTAGACACCTGCTGTCCCTCTCTGCTCCAGCCTCGGAGAGAGGACCACTCTTGGGAGAGCATCTGATTCTTCCAGGCAGGCCAGAAAGCCAGTTCTTTATGGTTTAAACAAAATGTTGGCATCTATCTAAAAAAAAAAAAGTGTCCATGAGTCAAACAAAACATGCATGTCAGTTTTGGTGAGACCCGAAAGCTCTGCCTTAAGGTGGTGTAGACGGAAAGCAGATTAGTGGCTGGAAGGACTGGAGGGCAGCCAGATCTTTATGGTTTAAACAAAATGTTGGCATCTATCTCAGAAATAAAAATAAAAAATGTGTCCACAGTCAAACAAAACATGTGAGTCAGTTTTGGTGAGACCTAAAAGCTCTGCCTGAAGGTGGTGGAGGAAAGCAGATTCATGGCTGTTGGGGCTGGAGGGCAGGGATTCCCGGATGGGGTCGCAGGTCTCTTCCTGGGGATGAACTCATCCTTCAGCTGGACAGTGGCTGATGTCCCAGGCCGTGGTGACGGACTTAATGCCACTGAATTGTGCATTTTTTAAATGGCTAAAATGGGAAATCTTTTGTGTATTTTACCACGAAAAATAAAGAGAAAAACCTTGTTTATCTGCAGGTTCCACGGGGCCAGACTGGCAAGAGAGTGACAGGCTGGCCGCACCCTCTCTGGTGTTGGAACTGCCCAGGCCGGCTTCGTGCTGCGGGCCTTGGGAC